CAGCATGGGGGTGAGTAGAAAATGAAGGCTAATCATGTTTTGGGTGTACTATTCCTTTAAGTTGTTGCAAGCAGGTTTTTCTTGTGAATTTGGTCTTAAATTTTTATTTCAAGTGGCATTAAAAAGTCTTTAAAAGTCTTGAATTTAACTCGCCTTATGCTGTAGGAACCCTGAAAAGAGACATCCAGAGATTTTAGGTTTGTATGTTTGGATTTATATTATATTATATTTATATATTTTGTATATTACTTGTATGTTTGCAAATTTTAGAAACATCTGTTGCCTCTAAAGAAAAGCAGCCCCATGGAATGATGCTGCCACCACCATGCATGACTGGAAGAATGGTGTTTATTCTGTGATGTCTGAAGTTGTTTTTTGGTTGGAAGTTCATCTTAGGTTTAAATCCCAACATATTGATGTAGAAGGTTTTGTGTGATTTTAAATTAACCTGCATGTTCTGTCTGGAAGAAAAGGCTCCAATTTTATCACCTACTAAGTTTAACACATCAAATACTCATTTAAAGGTCTGTCAGTTCCTTTTTTGTTGCAATTTAAGAGCCGCCCTAACCACTCTCCATCCTATCTTTACTTCTAGTCGTGTTTTTTCTCCCATTGAATTGTACCAGATAAATGTTGTGACATTGAGTGTACATTTTTAGAACAACGCAACCAACAATCAACAAAACAAAACAGGCTGAAAAATATCCCAAACCCAAACAGTTACCATGGTTTTGGTTACCATGTTGTTCCCCTTACCATGACCTCCTCTGAGATCTGCGGCGATGTGGGTTCTTCCTGGTAAACTTTGTCTTCTTGTTTGTTTTCCTGCCAGGCGTTGAAGTCCACAGAGTGTTTGGGAATGTAGCTAGAAAGGTCTGCAAATGATTATAAAAAAATACAGCATATTACAACTTATCACATACAGCACAATATTTATTTCTTAGTCATTTTAGATTTACACAATAATGTAAAAAAAAAAAATAATAATTAAAACTTTGTTCAAATAAAATGAACTGCAGTGAACGGTTTGTCCAGTAGGGGTCACTGGCAGCATACTAATAACCAACCTCAGGTTTGAATATTGGATGTTTTTGCTGTATATCTTTAAACCTTTCTTCATAAAAACTTATATATAAAAGTATAAAGATTTTAGGTATTCTTTGCAAACCCCTGTCAACTTAAGGTAAATATATTTTAGATTTATTTCATATTCCCTCCACTTTGTCTGCAAAAACAGCCCTTTTTACCAAACCAAAACATTTTCCCTCATAGAGATGCAGTCTAAGCCACTTTATAAATCTTAGCTTCAAGCTTTTCCTATCACCACTTCAATAAGGGAATACTGACGCTCTTTAGATGTACAGTTAATAGCTGAGATAAAGGCCAGCTCCATCCTAGGGAACCCCCTGGAATCAGTGCAAGTGGAGGGAATCAGAAAAACTTCAGAGCTCCTTTCAATAAATGCATCTGTACCGTAGGTCCAATAAGGAGCGTAATCTCAGATCCTTCATTCCAAAAGCTGTTACACTTTATAACCATCTCTGCTCTCCACAGCATCAATAAGTTGTTTCTCTATCTGCTATTGATATGAGCTCCTGGTTTGTTGTAGTTTCTCATCAAAACCTTTTGCATGTTCCTTTTGTACATTTTTCATTTCATCCCACTCGTTTGCAGATTTCATTGCTCTGATTTGATAACTGTGTGTTTATTTTTATTCCTGCTGATGTAAATTTTCCTCCAGCCGTTTAAACACCAGAATTTCAGAAGTGTGGCACAATAATGGGCTACTTCTTTTCAAACAGAACTGATTCCACACACCTCACTGCTGTCTCATTGTCCTCAATCAGCTCCTCCAAAAAGAACTGATAGTCATGGATGGTTTAAGACAGGGGTCTTCCACATTTTCCAGGCCAAGAACCCCCAAACTGATGGCAAGATGGAGCGGGGACCCCTAATTATATATATTATATGAAATTGTGTAATATCAAACTGGTCCTATAGTCACTCTATTACAGATGGATTAATGTAACAAAAGTAATTTCTCCCTGGGATTATTAAATTATTTCTGATTCTGATTCCTGGTTGATGGGACAGGTGTTGAATGAAACGGTTCCCAGCTTGAAAGAGCTCCTGTGTGTCACTGAATGTGTGCATTGTTGATGGAAAGACATCTTCTGCCTCCATTTATCTGTTTACTACAGTGTGTTGAATTCATGTTAATGTGGATTTAAAGACATTTCAATTAGTGGAAAAAATTGCAGGGGGGAATATAAAAAAAAAAAAAGTCTAATCAATCAAAACTTTTGCAACCCCAATGCAGTACCTCTGTGGTCCCCCTAGGGGTCGCGGACCCCCTGTTGAAGACCTATGGTTTGAGAGGTTATGATTAAATACTTTTATGTGTTTTTATAGGAATTTTTATGATGGACCAACAAAAAGTATTTCATGCCTGATATTTTTTTTATTTATTTATTTATTTTTTATTTAACCTTTATTTAACCAGGAAGTCCCATTGAGATTCAGAATCTCTTTTTCAAGAGAGACCTGGCCAAGGTAGCAGCCAAACCACAGGAAGTTCATACATATTTACAACATATTACATTTTTCATAATAAAAAAATAAAAAAATTAAAAAAATAAAAACATTTTGTTGTAAAAGTTAAAAAAATCTCGTGTCTTATTTGCTTATTTTTAATCAGAATCAAGAGACGGCGTCTTTAAACATCCATTTCTTGCGACAGATTCTAGTAGGAATTAAGTCTTGACTTTGACTGGGTCGTTGTAAAACATCGATAAACTTGGATTTAAAGCGGTCATTTAAACCAGGCGTCCCCAACCTCGGTCCTTAAAGGAATAGTACACCCAAAACATGATTAGCCTTCATTTTCTACTCACCCCCATGCTGAACAACACTCTGGAGTACTTTTTTGATATCTCAAATGCATCTGGAGATCTGGGAGGCTTCTTGCTGTCTGCTGACATTCAAATAATGGAGGTCTATGGTGCCCGAGGCAGAAAGGTCCATAAAAGTCCACAAAAAACGTGTCAATATTCCTCCATACTGCTCGTCCAATGTATTCCAAGTGTCCTGAGTGGGTAGCGTCCATAATTTACTCAAAACGGAGTCGTTTAGAATGTTTTTAGAGCATAAACAGTAGTGTATAGGATTTCCTGAAAGCGCGTTCACGAGTCTACGGAAACCGCGGCAGACCAAACCAGATGAAAGTGCGCATTCAGCGTCTGCTCTGCCGATGATGCAAGCGTAGAAGAAGAAATGTGCTGTTTACCTGTGCAAAGAAAGAAACAACGAAAGAAAAATGTCTGAGGACTTCAGTGTTGAGGAAGAGCATGAGTTCTTTGCCGAGCTGAATGCGCACTTTCATCTGGTTTGGTCTGCCGCGGTTTCCGTAGACTCGTGAACGCGCTTTTAGGAAATCCTATACACTACTGTTTATGCTCTAAAAATATTCTAAATGACTTTGTTTCGAGTAAATTCTGGATGCTACCCACTCAGGACACTTGGAATACATTGGACGAGCAGTATGGAGGAATATTGACACGTTTTTTTGTGGACTTTTATGGACCTTTCTGTCTCGGGCGCCATAGACCTCCATTATTTGAATGTCAGCAGACAGCAAGAAGCCTCCCAGATCTCCAGATGCATTTGAGATATCAAAAAAGTACTCCAGAGTGTTGTTCAGCATGGGGGTGAGTAGAAAATGAAGGCTAATCATGTTTTGGGTGTACTATTCCTTTAAGGCCCCCTGTCCTGCAGGTTTTAGAGGTTTCCCTGCTTTAGCACAGCTGGTTATAATGATTGCAGTAGACCAAAAGCCTGTTAATCAGCTTTCAATTAAAATCAGCTGTGCTGGAGCAAAGAAACCTCTAAAACCTGCAGGACAGCGGGCCTAAGGACCGAGGTTGGGGATGCCTGATCTAAACGACCTTATTAACTTGTTATAGATTTCTGCAGCCTGGTAATGAGCCACTCATTTCCCTCAGCTGAGCTGGATCAGGGATGCAGCTTAAGATCACAGGACATAGATCTAGTTCAGCGTCTTCCAGGTTTTTCCTGCATTTTGTTGCACCCACTTAAAGCCCCACCCACCTGTTCGCTTAAGTTCTGCATCAAACCTCCTGCTTCTTTGGTCGGGATTTATAGCGAGTCGACCGAGGTCAAAGGTCGAGACAGAACTGGGAACGGACGTTTCTGGATTCTCACCGTTGCCGTTTTCTGCGTGGACCGGCGAGCCGATCAGGCTGGGGCGGGGGATGTGGAAACGTCCCACCATGCTGGGCTGCTCGTCCGCCGGCTTCGCTTCCTGTTTTTCCTCCTCGTCTTCCTCCCCGCTGTCCCACGTGCTACTCTCCGACGGGTACTCGTAGGTGCTGTGAAGGCTGGACTCGTTGAAGGAGATCTTTAGCTGCAAAGGAAAGAAACACCTGAATGATTCGGAATTCTCTCTTATTTATGAACTATTGTCTCACTGGGAACTAGTTTATATTTACATGCAAAGTAATTTCAAAATTTAAAGAAACTGAAACTGACAGACAAGGCTAGAAGTAGCACTATCATGAGGGAGAATTGAAAAAGCCTACAGATCAAGACTGAGAAATATCCTATAGAGAAAAACAAACATATTTCAGAGATATATTGTGAGATATGAGTGAAGGATTATGTAAACTTAATGATTAATGATGAGTTGATGGACGTCATGATGAATTTGGAGAAAGTATCAAACTTTGTTATCCGGTGTTGCTGGTATCGCTGGCTTGTGTCCGTGTGATGCAGATTAGGACAGATTTAGATCAGATGGAGTCAAGCAGCGCTGGTTAAACCTGCTGTTTTCTGCGTGTTTCTATCATTTTTGTTTCCATAGCAGCACAGGAGGAGGAAGTGCAACCTCTGAGAGTTTCTGACGCCCACATGTGACCTGGATTTATCAACACTGCAGTTTATTTTAAAGCTGTTCTGGACAGTTTGGGGGGTAGAAAAGTAACCTGGATCAATGTGAGATTTTGCACCCTAATAAACTTAAATTAATTCCTCATATTCAAATGTATATTTGTAGCTTTGAACCTTGTGTGTTTTTTTATTTTCTTGCTTCTACCACCATCAAATTAGTGAATAGTTAAAAATTTTCTTATCGTCTGCTGAAAGATCTAAAAAAAAAACAATGGCAAACAAGTTTATCTGGGCAGGATTAGGATTAATTTCAGTAACGTTGTGTGCTACGATCCGGGGTTATAATGGTTAACTAAAACTAACGAAAAGCAAAAACTGATATAATAAATAATAATAAAAAAAAGTGGATGCATTTTACTGAAGATGCATATTGTCACTGGAAACTAATACATTTTGGTGATGATACTGGATTCCTACAATTTGGGGGAGGTCTGTGCTCTCCAACAGCTTTTCTAGTTCAACAATTAAAAATAAAAAAATTTCTTCTTCTTATTGTGTCCCAGGCTTTTAGACAATGCTACATTTAAAAAAACTACCCAACTGAAGCTAAAATCTTGTTCTCTGTTTGTCAAACTGTTTTCCTTAAGATATTAAATTGATTCAACAAAATAAATGCAAAGAAATTAGGCGTTTTTTTGGTCCCTTTTTTTGTCAAAGGACTAAATCTGAAATAGTTTCTTGCTAAGTCTTGTGCCTCGAGTTTTTTATGAGTTATCCAAGTTAACAAATACATAATAGTATCTGGAAATAATCTGAAAAGGAGCAAAAAGGCAGCCAAAGTCCAAACATTTAGAAAGATTGAGCAAGACCAGCTTAATAGACTAGAAACAAAACCTGACTGCTGAGAAGCAACATGAAGAAAAGTGATCTGTTCCCAGACTTCTGCACAGTCTGGTAACGGCAGTAATCTGAGGTGATCAACACGTCTCCGCAGAGAATAAACGCCATGTTTGACCCACTGAGCGGCCATTGTTCATGTTGGATTACATGACCATGACCGCACATGTGCTGCCAAACAGACGTGTCTCTCAGCGAAAGGCTGCAGACAATCGGGCGCAAACGCTGAGCTCCTGCAAAGAAGCCATCCGGCCCACTGGAGCAACTCAGCATCCAGCCGCCAGAATTAGAATCTATGGTGAACAATGAGGCCGTCTGCTCAGAACAGACTGTGGTGACTTTACAGCTTCAGCATGAAGACGGTGTGAGGATGAAGCAATGAGGAAATGATAACATATGAACCATAAAGTCATAAAACGCACGACTCTGAAGGACTTTCAAACTTTGCTTTAAGGAGAAACAACATATCAGGCTTCCTGGAACGTCGACTTGTGGAATTTGGCCTCCTAACAGAAAAGATGTTCCGGACCCATGTGGACACCTGGCCCTGAAATTAACTAAAATAGGAACCTGACATTGACGGACAGCTTTAGAACAAGTGTTACACATTTTCACCAGACAAATTTGCAACGCAGCAATAATGCTAACAGTGATAATTCAGTCAGGAAGCTGAACATTTGCAAAGGTTGATGTGTTTAGAGCAAAGGCTTACATCCATCCATCCTTCCTTTTCTTTTTATGCTCTAAAGCCTTTTTGGAGCCAAACCCAAGGGTCTGTCTGCATGTCTATCTAAAAAGGGAGCAGATTTCTTTCCCAGGGTCGGAGCCAAATGCAAATAACTGGATTTTCCTTCTATCCACAACATTTGTTGTATTCATGTAAGACATATTTTTAGAAGAAACAAACATAGTTTTCCAGGAAACCAACGACCAATGGGCTTAAAGAGTTTGATTAAACAATGGCAGTGAAACGGAGGCTGATTCTTTGCAAAAACATTAACCTTTTCGCCGTTTCCGTTCCCTGATGCTAACTTACTCAACAACTCAATCCTCAACCAAGTATTTTTCTTGCTCATCTGCAAAAGCTTGCAAAGATTCGTCTATGGGCCAAATATTTTGTGTGTAATTTCAAATATGGCAGGAAAAATACTTCACCTCATGTCTAGTGAGATAAAAACAACCCATATGCATCTCCAAGTCATTAATCTTTGCATATGTATTTATCTGATAAGGGGGAAATAGGCCTATAAAGTGCAATAATAATTAAAACAAATGAGGAAAGTCCATAAAAACTGATGACATGTTAAGATAATCACTTTAGTTTTAGCAGGAAGCACTTTCTGAGGACTCTAGGAACACAAAAAGAGATAGAGGACGTTAACCTCAGATTACCGAAGCGCCATGTCTCTGCTAACTCTGGAAGAACAAACTCTCGACGTGATGGCGGCACGAAGGACAGCGCTGTGGGTTGGGCCTGAAGTTCCACAGATGCTCTTAGAAATCAGCTGATTTTTTTTTTTTTTTTTTAGTTTGATCAACCAGTTGGTTCAATAACTCAAAAGTTCTATTATTTTCCTCTGAATCCGTCATCCCTGAGCAGTACGATGCCACGGATACAAAAACACTCTTCAGAGCTGAAGCTCCAAAAGAGGGAGGACTTAAAGCTGGTTATTTTTAGTTACAGTAAGGCGTTAAGGAGGCAGGATGCGGCTCAGAGATGTCAGAAGAGATTTAAAGAAAAAAATGGCAGACAGAGAGAGAGAAGAAAAGTTCTGGGGGTTAACATGAAGGTTGAAGCCGAACTATTGTGTCTTAAGGTTTTAAATGCTTTTATAGAGGTTCACCAATAAGTCGGCTCAGCGATATATTTTTTGGCTGATATTTAGATTT